TTTTCGGACCTCTGCAATGGAGATAACACGGCTTACCCCAGTGTTGCTATGAGCCGAAGGGAGGGTGGTATAATTGCCTGGCACATATTCTGATGCCAGTTAATGCTGGTCCTCGCAGCCTCCCCTGGACTTTGGCCGCTCTTGCCTAAGAAAGTCTCATCTTAATCCTTCCCAACTTCAATCTATGTATTCAGCAATCAAGTATCCAAACACTTGTCCAAGTCAGTGTGCTCAGCTCAGGATAAATATCCTCATTTTGCCCCATTTACTTTAGGCTGTTCATCCATGGGTTTTCCATACGTGTAGAATTAAATGTGTTCTCTTCTCCTACCGTCCGCATTCATCTGATTGCCCCGGCAGTTTGAGAAGATCCCAGAGAGGGTGGGGGAATTTCCCCTTTTGCCTCACAACTAACACTGTCATGTCCCCACTTCACAGATGAAGAAACGAAAGCCAAAGGATTTTATTGTTTTATTCATATATATTTTACATCATTGTTGATTTTTAAGCAATGTCTGCTTCCCCCCTCGGATGCAGTGCCTGCAGGATCGCCACCACCAGTGCACAGGGCACCATCCCCTCAGCCCCTGTGCTCCGCCCTCCCTCCCTCCGACCCTCTCCCGCCTCCTCCCCTGCAGCTTGTCTCTGCTCTGTAATTGTTTTTGTTGTGTTGTGTTGTGTTTTGTATTATTCCCCCCACCCTGATGTCTTATTTGGCTCCCCTATAAATCAGAAGGAAAAAGAAAAGTATTGGATGGTTTCACTTACAGGAGGAATAGAGGGGAACCAAATAAAGCTAAAGGATTTTAAATCACTGAACAGGTGACCTGGTCAGGAAAGGACAGAAGCCATCACAGCTGAGCGCACAGGCCGAGCCTCACTGCCCCTCTCCAGAGCACCGCTTCACTCACCTCTGCCTCCTCCAGAGACTTCACATTTCCAAGTGGCAGGATTTTCCCTGCCCTATTTCAGAAGAGACTAAACTCTGAATTCCAAAAGGAAAGAGATTGAATCAACTGCTTGCCGGGACTCTGCCAGTCTTATTTCTGTGTTTTCCTGCCTCCCATCTGTCTCAGAAAACAAATATTTCACAATCATCCCACTGTTGTCAGTAGGCCCATGGAACAGACCACATGTTGCCAGAGAGGGGAGGAGCACCACTTCTGACTGGACTCAGAAAAATGCCACGAAAATAAAAGTGAATTCCATGGAAGGCTTTCCTGGAGCTCTGATGAGGAGACACGAGCTGCCTGTCTCTGGGCAAGGGATGTCACGGGCCCTGCATTGGTTTCTAGTCATCGATGTGGCCCTGCCCACCCCACGTAACCCCCCAGCTGCCTCCCCACTGGTAACAATGCCCTCTGGCTGGTGCTGTTACAGGGCAGGGAGCAGGGCACCCTAGAACCCTCAAACCCGCCTGCTCTAAATAGGTTCTTGCCATCTGCCACATCCAGACAAAACATATAAGACCTTTAATGGAAAGGAACTTTAATACTATTACTGTGCAACAAAGAAAAGACAAAAAATATTGTTTCCAAATCCAGCACCCAAAGTTCCCCATCCCCTTGTGGGAAAGTAAATGCCCGGCCAAACAAGGTTGGCCCAAGGCAGAGCCACTGAGGCCCGAAAGCCTGCCGCGAGTCTAAAGCACCTTCAGGCGGGGACCCACAGAATAATGTCAGAAATAGCCAGACAAGTCTGGAAAGAAAAGAGCAAAATCGAATTCAAGATAAAAGCTGCCATTGCTAACCCCCCCCCCCCATGGGGCTCTCCCCACATCTGTTTCAGCCAGTCCAGGGCCAAGAATCAAGCGCAGCTGCTTCATGTCTCTCTGCTCCGTGGGCCTCCTCCAGGTCTCCTTCTGGCTCTCCATCCTGCTTCCTTCCTTCCCCAGGCTCCTCTCCAGCTTCTTCTCCTCCCTGCTCAGCTCCCCCCTCCCTTGGCCAGGGCAGGGAACCCGGAAACTCCTGTTTTCTTGGGGCAACCCTGTTAATTACAGTGCAGGCTGTAGACTACAAGGGAGCCCCAGAGACTGGCTGAGGAAGGCTGCTCCCCACCCCAGGGTGAAGGGTCCCTTTGCCATATGTGCAGCCGGGGCACGTGGCTCCCCACGCAGGAGTCGGGGAGGACGCCCTGGGGCCTGACACCATTGGAGGCGAGACCACTGAGCAGCGCCGGGCACGCACCTCCTGAGTCTCAGCCCCTGGGAGGTCAGCACATGACCCCTTGGAGGCTTGCAGCCCTGCCGCAGGGTGAGCTGGCTCTGGAGGAGGGAACTTGGGGAGCCAGGAAATGGGGTGCTTCCCTGGAGACCTGCCCATTTCAAGCACGTTTCCACCTCACCTTAAGTATCGAGGTTCTGGAGGTGTGGCGTGATCGCAAGCGGGACCTGTGTGTAGAGGCGCCGGAAGGGTGCTAGAGGAGGGCTCTCCTTGCTTAGGGAAGGATGTGGCTGCAGAGACGGGGTGCAGTGGCAGAGAGGGATCACTAAGGATGCAGCCTGGGGTCCGGCTGTGGTTGGGTGATTCCAGAAGCAAGATTCTTGGGGATGGCAGGCATCCTAAGCAGGATCCACTGTTGCCTCCCCACCATCACCTCCCACCATCATTCTATTAGTCAGAACTCATCTCTCATGCAGTTGAGTCGACAGTAGGCGGGCCATGACCCCTGGCGGGATCTCAGACGTTGATGAGGGTCCTGGCTGGATCTCAGACGTTGATGAGGGTCCCTGCTCCTCACCTAACAGCCTTGGGAGAGATGGACCAATGAGGGGGTGACTAGGAGCTGGGAGGGCTGGTAAAAGCACTAAAAAAGACCAAGCCCTGGTCTCCGTACAGCCTATCCTGTTAGTGTGGTAGCCAGAGGTCAGGAAAGATGAATAAACCTCCTGTTTATACACAGGCAAAGGCAGGACCAGGGCCACCCCTGGGTGCAGGGGCTCCAGCTGCAACACCTGCTGGGAGCTTAAAGGTAGTTAAGGAAAAAAAAGGCAATGTGGCTCTGGTACCAGTGGCCCGTGGGTTTTAGGTGCGCCCCATCCCATCCCAGCAGTGAAAATTGACTCAGTCACCAAACCAGACAGCAAGCCTTGTAGAAACGGATGGATGACATACTCATGGCCAGAAAAAATGTGGGTGTTACTTTGCTGAGAATATTCTGGCAAAGTTTTTTCTTGGTCTTAGAAATGAAGGGTGCACAAGAAATGGTCTTTTTGAAGGCCTCCCCTGTTGCCATGTCCCTGCAGCCCTCCAGCTCCTGGGAAAAGCAGGCCGAGGACAAAGTTAACACTGAGGACCACAAAGAGAAAAATGAAAAGACCTTGTGTGCTTGCCCATGCGCCGGACATGCTGAAGCGACTGCCCTGGCAGCGCTGGGTCTCATGCCTCAGTGTCGTAAGAGCCCACTTTGCTTGTAGTCAGTTTTACTTGTCTTCTGACGCTCACATTGAAGAGCACCCTGTGGTCCTGCGAGCACACAGGTAACCGCGAGCACACAGGTAACCTGAGCAGGTGCTGTGGTGTGGGGGGGTAAAGACTGGCCTTGGGCTCAAGAGCATCTCCTGACCTGAGTTTGGGTAAAGTCACACCGACCTCTGGTCATCACTGGTGAAATGATGCGGTCACTGAACAGCAGGAAAAACCAAAATGAACACTGCAGGTGAAAATGTTTTGTAGAAACTCTAAGTTCTTTTGCTCACAAGAAGTTTTTGCAAGTTGAATTCAGAGCCTCTAAGTTTGCTCCACTGTCCACATTTTGACAGTTTGACTGAAACGAGGCCTGCCAGCCAACAGGTCGGAGTTGACCTGGGATGCTCGCGTCCTCACTGGCTCTCTGAGTGCAGCAGCCAGGCTACCGGGACAGGTGGCAGCCTCTTCCTGGGGCAGGACAGTGGGGCCTGGGCATCTGTACGCCCAGTTGCCCTGCTATTTTGAGGAATTGTTCACTTCCCTCCTGGCTAGTTAGCTTTGGCCTAGTGGGTCAGAAACCGTTGTATATGAACTTGTGCAACTATCTTGATTATTTACACGACACAATTGAAAGTGTAATCACTTGCTTTGGTTTTACGTATTTTTAAGTGTAAAAGTTGGATACATTTACAAGTGTCTTGAGTTTTGGATAATGCCTATCTCAAAACTTGACAGTAAACCCAAAAAGCCTCACCAATAGAAATATTAGTTTTTATTCTCATCTTACCTTCGATGAAAAAGGCCTCAGGCCAGCAAAACATTTTTGAAACTCAGTAACTAAACACAGTACTTGATAGCCTGACCATTCTTTTTCTAGACAACTGTTGAATCATTTATATTTTTAAAAAAATAACTAAAATCTATTTTTATCACTTTATTCCTTTTTAAAGCAGCAATGCCCCTCACATTTTTTTTCATAAAAATCTAAATTATCTCTGGTAGTCCCCTATGTCTTGTATTGATGTTTGTGCTAAGTGTTTGTTTCACTAAAAATTTTCAGAAATAAGTGCACTTCTAAAGAGGAAATAAATTCAAACAAAGACAAGAGGAAATAATCATGGTTATAGCAAAACAGTTTTTCTGAAGGTTCTGATTCTTTGCAATTCAAAGAGAATGTGTGTAGTAGCCAAGGACCACCCTACTGAGCAAAATCTCAATTCCTGTATTTGTACACCAAGTGGTGTGGTGAGCTGTTTCTCTGACTGACAGAGACTGACGGATGCATTGTCTTTCTATGGTAAAACACCCAACATAAATTAAAATGTTTTTAAATTTACAGATCAACATGAAGAGATACAAGTGTTTAAACAACAGAAAAGCCATGCTATCATAAATAAATAAAACCTTAGCAACCACGAAAAGTTTTGAATAGTCCGCATTTGTTGTTTTCCATTCAACTACTTATTAAATCAGTGAAAGATTCCATTCAGAAAACTGACTTATAACAAATTCCTCATTCTCAAACAGCACCATGCTTCAATAAATTTAAAGGTTTAAAGCTGTGCTAATGGAAGTGTAAAAGAAAAATAACATAACTTGTTTTAATACAAAGGTTTTTTAATAAAAAAGTCAGTCTACATTAAATCAGGAAAATTCAATAAATCTGAATTATACAAGCTTTCTATATACTTAGAAAAACCAAAAACACACAGTTTATAATAAAACTCTTTAATTCAAAATAGAGTCTAATTTAAAGAAAATGCCATTATGCCCAGTTGGTTAGTAGGGTTTTTGTCACTGAAATCAAATGGTTGACCTGAAATGTGGGAAATGTGTACGAGGGAAGATTCCATCTCAAGGGTACTTTGCAGATGATCTAGTTAATTTGTATCATGAATCAAATTCTTAGCTTCCAAAGGGCAGACACAGTCTGTACTTGCTTTTAGATAGGCACTTAAGAAATGCTTTTGATGAGGAGAAAACCCCAAAGGTTATGAATCACTCTGTTAAGTCCAGGGGAAAATGAAACTCTAAACCAAGTAAACTTTCCAGACCGGCCCTTCCACTGCCAGGATATCGTAACTATTTCCAAGTCCTTCCTGTTCACAAGATCGGAGGAGACAGAAATTAACACATTCTACTCTTATTCAATTAAAAAATAAACTTAGGTAATTCAGCTCCTTTTTCTCCCATTCCAATTTGAATTAATATTTTCTGTGCTAGAAAAGCTACCATATCAGAGCTAGAAAACGTTTCAGTTTCCAAATATCTTACCCATTCACTAACACACTAGGAAAACAGTCCTTTAAAAAAACAGTGTGAGGTGGAGTGAGAAAATCTCACAAATCTGAGCAGAAGTTAAAGACTTGTTTTAATAAGAGGCAGTTATAATTAGAAAAGTTAGAGTTAACTGAATGGTGATAACCCCGGAATTTAAAAACTTCTCTTTCCAAAATACTCAGCCACACGATCCACACAACAGATGAACTATTAGATAAACACATAATAAATACCAAACACAGAGGGGAGGAGGGAGAGAGACAGGGAGAGAGGGGATGGGGATGTGGGGGGACACCAATCCAGGGGTCTACTGACACACTGCAGAGCCACTAGCAGCAACAGTGAAAAAGCTTTTGTTGATTTGCATAATGGTCCTTTGCCATTCTTTCCCATTAAGAACATCCCCACAACTATGTGGCCATTTTAGATTCTGATCACATGTCATTTGTAATGGTTATAGTTGTATCTTAAAAAGTTCTATTAGTTAAAGGTAAAGACATAAGCTAGGCCATTCCTGGATCAAGTATTATTGACTTATGAAACCAAAACCTCAGAGTAGTTTTAGAATTAAAATGCTGAGCTAGAAAAGACTTGAGTTCTTAGGGAAGTGAACATCATCTCCCCAACCCTCTCATCACTGCACCCTGGGCCTGCACTTACCGCCATTCACAGGAACCACAGCGAGGGAGCTAAACACGAACAATCCTGCCCCGCATAAGCTGACCTCTAGTGGACACCCATCAGGAGAGAACACAGCACTCCTGCAGGGAAGTACAAGCCACTGAGTTCATCCACTCTGTTCAGGATCTTTGGTACATTTGGAGTGTGAGAAAATAATGGCACAATAACACAAGGGCAGTCAAAGGGAGTAAAAGTTAACCAGCCATGATATGTTAACAACTTTCTCGAAAACCAAAGGAAATAGCTCTTTGTTTTCTGCAAGTCCATTTTTACATGATCAGAAGTTTGACTTTTAAAAAAATAGTTTAATAAAAATACACGAGTTCTACAAGCAGCCTTCGTGGTCATTTCTAAAATTCAACTCAGCATAATCAAATTAAAATAATGCCATGTCCTCTTGTTAAAAAAGAAGTCTTCCTGTCACAAGAAAAGCAACTTGACACTCTATAATACAGTGCATCTCCCTATGAGTACACAGACTGGTGTACGAAGGTCATCAGTGTTTCCGAAGGCAAAGTAAATGTATCGTGGGCTGTGCGAGTGGCAGCGTCACCTTCCTCTTCTTTGTGAGGAACGTGTCACTCCTTACTGTGGAGTTTGTAAGTAACATGATGATAAATTCTATTATTTTTAAATAACCAGTGTATTTCCTTACTAAAATTTCTTAGAACCATTACCGAAATTGCCTTCGGATGTATCCTGTGATGTCCAAACCAACAGGGCAAGTGTTCTAACGTCCTCTGCAGGAGATGGCTTTGTGGGTCACCTAGACCCGTAAGATTGGCGGTGAGACAGCAAGGCTGCGGCGCTACCTACAGGTGGCCTACACTGCTGAAGTGACGGGTGTTTCTCCTGACTTGACTAGAGGGGTTACAGTACAAAGCCACGGCACAGGCAGGATGGACCTTAATACGCATGTAGGCAGTGCAGTTAGGAAGGGATACATGTTTCTTTTATTCCAGTACCTTCGAATAATAAAGTTAACAAAAATAATAAAATATAAAAAAAAAAGCCAGCTGGCACGGCCAACCAATTCCTGTAGTAGTCTTAGAAATCCTAAGCCTGTAGAATTTCCTCCTGTAGTCCCGAGCACCGCCATCGTCCGAATATTCAGGGGGCTGTTACCTATGCCGCGCGAGCCTGCCGATGCAGCTACCTGAGTTCTCTTGTCGTGGGGGGAGGTGGTCTTCGTTCATAACTTCCCAGCTTTCATGTAGGTGGGGATGGAGCCACGCTGAGTCAACCCTTCAAACCTTTTATAGGTATAATTGAGAAAAACCCAGTCTTTGGATTTGTAGTCCGGTTCTGTGGTGTTTGGCACTAGGGAGTTAGAAAAAGTAACCAAGAGCAAAGGAATGTCATGAATGAGAATGTCATCATCTTCAGACTTTTCAAACTGTTAGTGGTGCTGCAGATGGTCTTACCTGGTTGTAAAATGTCAGATTCAGGAAAGTCGTCAAAATTTGAAGTGTCATCGATGCTTTTGATTTCTATTGGGATTGCTGCTGGCCTTTCCCTACAAAAAGGTATGGAGCACTCTTAGTCAATTTTTGGGAATTCTTAATATTCCAGAAAATGATTCTATTTGAAAATCCTGCATGCTGTTCCATAGATAATAGAAGATCCAAAAAAGTTATTATGGATTTGAAAATAGTTTAATGTATTACACAGTTGAACATAATTTTTATATTATCACTTGTCATTTTAATTTCTTTACACCAAGATTTTCTCAAGCTTTTTTTTTTAAATGGAAAAATGAGACTTAATGAAAGCGAGAAAGAACAGAAGAGATTTTATTTGAATGATTTTATAATTATATGAAGTATGTTGTATTGTGGGACTGGATCCTACCTAATTCAAGAATAGAGTTCTTCTAGTAGAAGATCTATAAATCAAAGGTCATTTGGCAATATAAGGGGTACAAAGGGTAATGGGACCAAACATTTGTGATAACATCTGGACGTGTAAGTTTTAAGGTCTAAAAAATTAGTCATGCAAATGCCTTCTTATTCTGCTGAAAAGATTTAAGTATAGAAGTAGTTAAAAAAAGGTATCATTTTTTTATATTTCTGTTTTTCCAACAAATACTCACTGGATCTATAAGGTGATAAATTGACAAAATTATGTAAAAGCATACATATCTTCTTCCCCAAATTATTCCAACTTAATATAATTTACTAGTTTGGTGGAAAGAACTAGAACCTGCTTATCCTGAGATCCAGTCACTTGCTGTAAGCAGCAGAGTGGCAGCTTGATGTTAGGCAGGCAAATCCTGCTCTGTGACTGTCTCTTCACCTCAAAACCAAGGGACTGGCCCGGGATCCAGCTTTACAGGGTCTGCAGCTCTGCACAGTGAGATGAACTGTGGATGGCCCAGTTGGCACAGCAGCTGCGAGTCGGGACTCAGAGCCAGTGCCTGGCCCAGTTTCAGCCAGGGTTCTGGCTAGCTCCTCACTGGCTGTGGGCAGCTAGCCAATCAGATCAGAAGTAGGCCCTGGTATCTCGTTTGTAAAGCAGACTTAAGGACTGATTTTTTGAAGTCGATTAAGAGGATAAAAAAGGTACAGAACAGTGCTGGACATACACTAAGTGACCCAAGGGCAGCAGCAACTTGATAGAGTGCCTCGTGCACAGCAGGGTGGAGGAGGCAGCCACACAAGCTATCAAAGTGGGAGGTAGCAGGGTAGGGGAGAAGTCATTTCAGTCACAAGGACCAGCAGGGACAAAGCCCTGTGGTGGGAAGCAGTGGGCAAGATGAAATATGTGACCTGCAGGGACCAGGGCAGACAACTCTTAATTTTATCCTTAGTGCAAAGGGGAGAAAGATGATGGCATGATCAGATTCGTGTCTCCCAGACTTCTGTGATGTGGAGAACAGACCAGAATTGTTGAAGGCAGTTTGGCCATACACTGAACAAAGGTCCCTGGTTGCTCACAATGAACAACCATTAGCAAATTCTAAAAGTTAGTGCATCATTTAACTTTTCCAACAATGTTTTCAAAAGGGACTCTACCCACTCTGCTCTTTGGGCACTAAGAGGGTGGATCCAAGCACAGTGGATCAGACCCCATCTGCTCTAGCCCCCCAATGGCTTAGTGGGGCCAGGGTCCCCTGGGACATCCTGGGTGGGTGAGGGTTGGGGAGCTGCTGAAGACCTAAGTGAGGAGAGGGCCAGCCTTGGGTGCCCTGAACTTGGCTGTGGGAACCTGGGGAGCTGACTCCTAGCCTCTCTCCTGTCATGTTGTTATTTATTGCTAAGCTGCTGTCCAGGAGAGGCGGCACTGGGCTAGGATCTGAGTATTTATTGCTGTACATAGTGTGTGTTTTGATCTATAAGGTTTTCTTTCTTTTGTTTATGATCAATAAACAAAAATCAATCAATGGAGGGAATATTTGTTCCTATAAATTAACAGAAGAGGCACAGTGTATGATATTAGAAAGGACTAATGTGAGAAACGTAGACACATCTGCATCATGCTCGTGACCTTCCTCTGGCAGTTCTGAATCTGAAATCTAAGCAGGACACAAGGTGGGTGCCCTGAGCGGATGCAGCTATGAGGAGCCATTCAACAACGGCTGCTGTCATCTCACTGATGTAATCCCTAAAATACTGGTTCAATAACAATGTTGTGCTGGTGACTCTTGCATTTAATCTAGCAGAGGCAGAGGCAGATAAATCACAACCTCCAGAAATCTGCTCCACCCAGACCTCTCCCATCAAAGCCTGTGAACATACCTGATGTGACCCCAGTCTACACCTTCAAAAAAGGGATGACCTTTTATTTCTTCTACTCCACTATTGCCAATTCTATTTTCAGAATCGATGCAAAATCTGGAAAAGGGAAGCAGAAATCATCACATGTAAATCACATCAGACGTACTCTATTTGTATCATTTCAACTATGTGAGAATGTGGGAGAAAAAAATCATGTGTAATTATACTATTCAGAGATAATAACTAAATAGTTCAAAGCCCTTTCTGTCTCATCTTCATGTAATAAAAAAATTATTTTTGTGTTCCTATAGTTCCTATTATAGGACCTTTTTTCCATTTACTATACTGAGAAAATTTCCCAAAGCACTACACATACTTCTGTAACTTCATTTTCTAAAATTTGCATGTGGAAATAGTTTATTTTGCCAGTCCACTACTTACTATTGAACAATTAGACAGCTTTGTATTTTTCATTACTAAAAATAATATGATACACATATTAAGCCTGGAGTTCACAGACATCTGGTTATCTGCACCAGCACAACTCTTGGAAGCAGATTTACCAGGTCAAAGTTTAAACCCCCGACTGCTGCCATGGGCAGCCCCGACTCCACCTCCTTCAAGTCACTCACAGCAGCACCATGACGCTGCATCTCAGTTGAGCAGAGCGGGATAGCGTGGGATGTGGAGCTGAGAGGAGGTTTCGCCTGCAGACTGTGAAGCACCACTACCTACTGCACTCTATTTCCTGAACGCTTCCTTTTACAAGTTTGCATTTCTTAAAAAACACCTTTTCCTCATGGATCTCTCTGGCTGTATAGATCAGTGGTAGTTTACTTTCCAAAAAAAGTGACATGGGCAGAACATTTTTGCACACAACACTAATGATAAAGGACTGATCACAAAAATCTGCAAAGAGCTGATGAGACTCAACAACAACAACAAAAATAATCCAGTCAAAAAATGGGCAGAAGAGCTAAAAAGAAACTTCTCTGAAGAGGAAATGCAAATGGCCAACAGGCATATGAAAAAGTGTTCAACATCACTTGTAATCAGGGAAATGCAAATCAAAACTACCATGCGATACCATCTTACACCAGTAAGAATGGCACATATTTAAAAAACTAGCAACAACAAATGTTGGCGAGGGTGTGGAGAAAAAGGAACTCTTCTGCACTGTTGGTGGGAGTGCAAACTGGTCCAACCACTATGGAGAGCTGTGTGGAGATTTCTGGACCTACTAAACATAGAGCTTCCATAGGATCCTGCAATTCCACTCCTAGGTATTTACCCAAAGGACATAGAAACATCAATTCCAAAGAACACCTGCACCCCTGTGTTTATAGCAGCACTGTTTACAATAGCTAAGCTTTGGAAACAGCCCAAATGCCCAAAAATAGATGACTGGATCAAGAAGATGTGGTACATATATACCATGGAATATTACTCAGCATCCAAAAAAGATAAACACATGCAATTTGCAGCAACATGGATGGCGCTGGAAGGGATCATGCTCAGCAAAATAAGCCAGAAAGAAAAAGAAAAATACCGGATGGTCTCACTCATAGCAGGAATCTAGAAAACTTAAATAAGGGACCAGGAAAATGAATAACTATAAGAAAGTGAAAATCAAAATCAACAAAAAACTATGAACCAGAGACACTTTTTGGGGGGTGGGCGGCGGGAGGGGAGGGATTGGGGTCAGAATGGGGGGGTTGCAATTGTATGGGGAATATAAAAATAAAATTTATTATTTTAAAAAAAAAAAGTGACATGGGCAATTTAATCTTTTAGGTAACAGTAATGTTTTAAATACCACACACTCCTCTGGGGATTTAACCACTAACCTAAGAATTAAATCCTTGGCTTTTTCAGATATAGGCACCTCTGGAGGAAATACCAGAGTTTCCTTCCAGCTCATCACTTTTCTGTATGTTTCTTGAGGTGTTTCAGAGCAGAAAGGTGGATATCCTATGTATCAGAGAAACAAAAGTTTTATCAGCTTTTATGATCCAATATGTGACTCCTAATATATATTTGTCACAAGAAACAAAATAGTGCTCTATTTAACAATTGGAATCGGCAATTTAATACCATAGCTATTGGCAGTACTCAATAAAGGATTTAAAGCACTAGCCCCCCACCCCAAAGGACATACAGATACAATTTTGACATAAGCCTTCTGCTTAAATACCTCCCTTCCCAAAAGAGGATCCCAGAACACTCACTGGTATCTATCATGGTGTATTTAACATTGGGGTTGTCAGGAGTCAGTTTAAAAGACTTGAGACAGCTGAGCCGATGATATCTGCAATCACTCACTGGTGCTCAAGGAAATTTACATATTAAGCTCACAAATGAACGGTAAGACCTACCTATGAGCATTTCATACATAATCACTCCCAGAGACCACCAGTCACACAACTTGTTGTAGCCAGTCTGCATGAACACTTCTGGAGCAATATAATCCGGCGTCCCAACTGTGGAATATGCCTGCAAGGGAGCAGCTTGTCAAGGCAGCATTCTTAACATCTTTATTTTTGAAAGACCTGAGGAAGGCTCACTACTGGAAAAAGCAGTATACACACAAGTTTATTTCTCATTTAGGCTTCTTCATGTTTGTAATGTGTAAAGCAGTGGTAGGCACTGAGAGAATATATTATTTAACACATGATTTCCACCCTCTAAGAAGTTCAACTAAATATATTTGCATATTTTAGCCCTAAATTCATTTCCAAAAGAATGACAAGGTTGAGCCCAGTGGCCTGGCTGGGCTCAAGCACTCAAACACTACTAATGTGTCCTTAGGGATGTTACTCAACCCTCTGAGCCTCAGCTTCTACTTCCACAAAGCTGGAGTAGCAGCACCTGCCCTGACAGCTGAAATGAGGCACAGAGAAGAGCAGGAATGCACTTGGTGAACTCCATCCTACTGTAGAGACATCACTATTTTCTTTGTAAACCTAATTCCAGGGCACTGCTTATTCACTAAGAAGCAGTACAGCTTTTCATTTTTAATTCATATAAAACCTTACAGAAACTATTTAACACAACAGTTCTCCACTAAGGGTATTATTTCAGGAGCCACTTGAAAATGCGTGGCTGTAGATTTTGTCATCTCAATAATCTTAGGGAGACATGACTGGCATTTAGTGAGCAGGGGAAACATGTTCTGAAGAAATTTCCAAAAGAGCCTCATTTCCCCTCTCCTGGGAAACATTGACAGAAGCAGTCCAGGTGGCCACAGAACAGCGCAGCATGCACAGGAGTCATGGCCGGGGAGGATTCTATAAACAGCGGCACAGAATTCCCACCATGATTTAAAACACTATCAACTTTTCCCTTTAAAAGGAGGGAATGTCCCAGTTCTTTTCCTCAGTTGTAAAACCTGATCTAAAAGTGACAGATTTAAAAGTACAATGAAGTTTCTGTCCTTACTACAGAACTCAGATACATTACAGTTTTTTTTTTTTAAAAACACAAATATTTTATAAGCACAGGAAACTCACAATTACTTGGGCTAATAAGAGAATAAACCTAATAATATAAAGATCACTTTATTTGGTTTGAGAAGGCATTAAAATATTATCTTTCAGTCTATTTTCCTTCCTGGGAGAATGCTGAGTTAGTTTCTCTTCATCACTTGAATTCCACAAATATTTACAGAATATTTACCTGTGCCAGGAGTTGTAAAAGAATTAAGAAAAGGCACATGCCTAAACTTGAGAGTGCAAGTGGATCTAATTAACAGGATAAAGGGCAAGAGGAAGAGGCAAGGGATTCCCATGTTTGCTGAGCAATAGAGGAGAAACAGCATGGGTTAACAACAGGCACACATTGTGGAATTACAACAGGTAATACCACACCACAGGAGTAAGTCGCTGTGGTAAAGTCTGCTTTCCACTATCGTCTCCTATAACGCTGTTAACAAGCAAACTTCCTGTTACTCTATCTAGAAAGAAGTCCTTAGACCTGCAATGGAATGCTCATGCTGCTTCACACATGTTATATTGGGAGTGGAAGACAGGAAAGGAAATCACAGGTCATCCTCACCTCAGTGCCTGCCACGTGCAGAGCTAGTGACCAATAAGCAGATGACTCAACTATAAGCATTCTCTATCAAATAATCTAACTGAAAATCATAAAAATCAGCATTACATACTACAGGCAGATGTTAGACTATGAAGACTCTGTGATCCAGAGCAAGCTCTGTCATTGCTATAAAGTAAATACTAATTGTTGTGAAGATACAAAAATATCAAGTGAAAACCAAATGAGACTTTAGGACCAGGGAGAAGTTCTTTCTTAAAAATCTGGCTAACTCACCAGTTGTCTCCTGTTCTTCTTCCATGTTTCTGCTTTCCTCTTTGAGTTCATGTTCTGAAATGCTAATTTCAACAAGACAGAACTGTAATCAGGAGGGAAAACCTCTCACCAAAAAATAAAATCACACACAGACATTTAAAACACATTGGGAGAGAGCTTTCCATTCTTGACAGTTCTGACTTAAGTTAGTTACCCTTTAACCCAAAAATGTAAACTCACAGAAGTCCCTTGGTGGGTTGTGTGTGAGGTTTCTGTAGAATTCAGTCCTGTGGGCTTTCTTTAATCCCGTGCACAAACCAAAATCAGATAATTTCACGTGCCCCTAAAGTTAAAATTAAAATCTAGTAAAATCAAGAGTATATATATTAACTTTGAAAACAAAAGCCTATTATAAACTCCATTTTAAATGCACTTATAAAAATACTTAGCTTAAAAATCATACAGGTGAAATGTAAAATTAATATTTGACAATTCTAAAAAAAAGAAAATGCAAGAAAACAATAGCTATATTCCCCTGCTGGCATCTCAATTCCGAAGTCCTCCCTGTCACATTGTTCTATAAAATAATGTGAAAGTAACACACTGCGGTTGCCCATTCCAGTCACGGAATCAGCTCTGTTCCTTCATAAAATAACCAGCAACCTCATAGTCCATCAGTTTGCTCACGTGCCTTGGCATCCAATAAAAGGTTGTCTGGTTTAATATCCCGATGGATGAACCCCAATTGGTGGATTGCATCTATTGCCAGAACAGTCTCTGAAATGTAGAACTGCGTTTCCTCCTCGGTCAGGGTATCTTTCTTCATTAGCAACGTCATCATGTCACCTAAATGAAGGGATACATGTCAGGAACTGGATACGCCTCCAAAGGGGCACACCTGAAGAAAGCCATCTTTGATTTCTACCAGGTGTGCCTGATGTTTTGCTTGTTAATATCCACCATCCTCCCATTTCTAAGACCAAATGAAAAAGTGTCACTGCAGAAATAGAAGTTTCCCAATATTTAATGGTTTTAAGCTAGGAAATATATGAAATCAAACCAGAGTCATGCTGATGAGGAAGTAATGTCCACCACTCAACACTGGGAATAAGTAACTCTGGACACAGGTCAGACCAAACCGCATGAGTGAATCCATAAGCGCAGTGGAACAAGCGCGTTCAATCCAGTTACAGCTTCAAAAAGACCGGAGCTCTTTCACCCCCTAAAAGGACATTATCCCATGAGAAAACTTACCTGCACACATTCTTTGATTTTTAAGGATTTTCTTACTAGGGGGCAAGGAATAAACTTTGCAGTCGGTAGCTGTGGCTTTTGCTCATGCATGCTGCGGGTCTTTTCAAAGAATTAACGTGCAGTGTTTTCTGCCCTGCTCTGTCCCCCGGCCCTTCCTGCTGGGCAGCACTGTTATGGTTTGTTCTGCTGGGTATCCTTCCAGTCTATTTTTGAGTACTTTCGACACACACGTATTCATCCATCGATAGTCTAACTGCACGTATACTTGCACAGTTCTCTCTTCATCACTCCAATCTATTTCTGAGCTCACAGTTACCCCTCCTTTTAGATTTCCGTGAACCTCTTCATCATACCACATTTATTATCTATTCTACTGATGCACATGCACTTTGTGTCCAGGTTTTCACTGTTGCAACCCCTCAGGCACACATGGGGAGAACCTCTGGGGAGCATGGCGGGATGGAATGGACAGGGGGCCACCAGGGTCCACGAATCGCTCTCCATGCAAGAGGCCAGTCCTCCTGCCTCATCAGACTAAGTGTTTCTACTAATTAGGAGTAAGAAATGGCATCTCATTCTTGCTTCACCAGGCATTTCCCTAGCCATGGGTGAAGTGAGCACCTGCACATGCTTATAGATGTGAAGAGTTTCTCCTCTTCTACATGTGACCACTGGGTTGTGTGTCTTTTTCTTTAGTAATTTATTTAATTTAGTGATTTAGTTCTTATGGCTAGACCTCTAATAATCTAATTATACAGAGAAACCCAGAATGGGTAGCTCTGAAAATGTGCTGACTTTATTATTCCCTCAAAATAATCTGATGTGTTGTCAGAACGAGCATTACCATGGGAGGAAATATTGAAAAACCATCACTGACCATGTAAAACCTCAAGCAAGGAACATCAAAGCAAACCTTATCAGCAAATCGTAATTACATAGGAAGATGTGTGCTTGTATCAGTCTCCACTGTTGCTTTTACCTCCGGGGAGGAACTCCATGATCAGATAAAGGTTCCTCTTATCTTGGAAACTGTAAAACATCTTCACCACCCAGGCGCCATCTGCTTCTACCAAGATATCTCTTTCAGCTCGGATATGGGCCACCTAGGTGAATGTTTTGAGAAAAATAATTGTAACACACTACACATTTTCAAGCTCACAGTTACCCTTCCAGTTCCTTTACAACCAGGAAGGAAAGGCAGTTTTAGAAAAGATCTGAAACATATAGGCACGTTTCAAGGTCTTAAATCTGGGAAGTCTCAGAAGAAAGTTTGTTTTAGCATAGACTTTTTAGGGCTGATAAAGTGGGGCCCAAAGGCCTATGAGGCAGAAACTTGATTAGCCTTAAAACAGTCCAACTAAAATTTCTACCCAGCAAAGGGTCAAGTTTAAGGCAGTGGTCTGACTGCAACAAGCAGTTAACAATGTCCTATAGACTGACATGACAAACTCGAGCTCCTTAGCAAACTATTTTTAATCTTCGTTATTAAACAAAGGGCTCAACTTGGTATTTTACCATTTGGTGGTGGTGGTTTTTTATTTTAAGAATTAGAAACATTTATAATAACTTCACAGAATACTAATTATTTTTTTAAAGATTTATTTATTTATTTATACAAGAACCAGGATACAGGCCAGATACGCAGGAGAGTAAGAGGATTCACCAGAGAGAGGGCGGGGAACAGAACAGGCAGACTGACGAAATACACTGCTGAGGGGAGCAGTGGGCGAGACAGGAGAGGTCTGCTGCGCCATGTGGGACCCTCGCCGGACGGCTGGGGTTAAACCTGCGCTGCAAAGGCTGCGGACAGCTTCACAGCGCGGCACTCGACCGCCTGCGCCACCAGGGGAGGCCCAGAATACCAATTATTGCCATAATAGAAACATTCTGTGATATCTATGAACACATCTACAGGAAATTAGTGTAGCTGGGGGTTTTGCTACTGACTTTGGTCAGACACATAATTACTATAGACACTATTTGACCAAAATTTGTATAGACTGGAAAATTTTACAAACTGCTTAATTTTGAGATTGGCATAATCAATTTTCAGATGCTTTTCTTAATTTACTTATGCATTCTTCTTCAAAGATTAAATTAACAGTAAGATTTGATTTCAGGCTTTCCCTATTTTCACTGTACCCCATACAAACTCTGAATCAAAGCACAAGAGAACACAGATTTTGTAAGCCTTTTCATGAAAATGAAATGATTGCTTAAAATGTCATATTTAGGATTAATGTACAAATACACCTGGTGCAGTGAATGCTCTGAAATCAAAGCACAGGAATAAAAGCTGAAAACAAAATTTGTTTTCTGGCATCAAAAAACTTTGTAGTCTCTCTGGATCTGTTTCATAAAACAGATGCTGGCACCAGATTCTTTCTTACTGATGCTACAAAGCATTATTAGGTGGTATAGGTAAGAGCTGAAAGGCCTGGAGTTGCGTCTGGTGCTGCCAGGAAGATAACTACATCATAAACTTGGCCTAACTATTTGAAAGTATCTTAGCCAGATTCCAGGATCGGTTTCCCAAATGGATCTATGTTTCCAAAGCGTAGGAGGGTCACCACAGAATTTGGGTACACAATGGCAGGGAGACTCATTGCTATTCACCATTGTGAGCATGATTAGCAGTAAAGTAAGTGTAAGAAATACCTAGCACATTGACATTTGAATTGAGGGGGGGGAACATTTTCCACAAAGAAATGTAATGGTGACACATGCAGATTAATTTATGGGGGACAAAAAAACCCCAAAGTGCAAAATAGCCTTGATAGTGTGTGTCCCCCTACCTTAACCCCCTAGCCTGAGACTACCTAGCTGGGAAAGAATAATGGTCCAGGAGCTCTTCAACTTTTGGGACAACATCCTAGACCACGGCCTCTAACAGAACATAATGAAGGCCACATGTGTGTTTAGAATTTTCTAGTCATCACATCAAAAAGTAAAAAGAAATAGGTGAAATTATTTTTTATTATATATAGTTTATCTAACCCAAATTTTCAAAGCATTATCAGTTCAGTACTTAATATAAAAATCAGTGAGAATTTTACTTTTATTTTGTACTGAGTCTTCAAAATGTGATGTGTATTTTCTTTCTTTTTTTTTTTTAAGATTAATTAGTTTATTTATATAAGAACCGGGGTGCAGGCCAGAATCGCAGGAGGGTGAGAGGATTCACCAGAGACAAAGCGGGGAACAGAACAGGCAGACTGACGAAATACAGTGCTGAGGGGAGCAGCGGGTGCAACAGGAGAGGTCTGCCGCACAATATGAGACCCTCGCCAGCCGGCCGGGATCAAATCCGCTGCAGAGGCTGCGGACAGCTTCACAGTTCAGCACTCAACCGCCTACGCCACCAGGGGAGGCCTGTGATGTGTATTTTCTACTTTCAGGATATCTCAATTCATACTAGATGGATTTAGATGTCCAGTAGCATGAGGCTACTTACTGAAGGATGTGCTGGAACTGTCTTTTGTCCTGCCTCCCTATCCCATTATGGCCTGGTTACCTACTTGTCTCAGGTTCTATGTCTTCATCCAGACTCCTGAATTCCCATTTACCTACTTGTCTCAGGTTCTATGTCTTCATCCAGACTCCTGAATTCCCATGACTGTCTGTACTTCTCAAATACAACTCAACATCTACACTTTCCTGCCTTCCAAAACTACCCTGCTGGAAACCGCCTCCCCACAACAAAGACCTAGTCACCTCATGTCTAGTGGTTCCCACCAACTCTCATCTGACTGAACTAGGCTGTACACTGAGGGCTTATCTGTCTGCCTGCAGCACTCTCTAGAATGGCCGCTTTCCCTCAAGTGTTGATGGGGAAGGGTGGGTTTCCAATTCATCCTCAGGGCTGCTTTGAACCACCATGACACTTTCCTTCTCTCCATTGTCCGTGCAGCACACACTGAGAGACAATCCGCTGTTGTCTTTCTTTACTGTTATCCTTTGTAGAATTCTGGTCAATTCTCACTCACGCCCAAGGCTCATGGGTTATCAGTGCCATCTCCATCCTCTCTCCACTCAGGGACGGGTTTCATCTCCACCACTTAGATAGCTCCTTGACTATTCTTTACTCCCAAGTCTCTTCCTCCAGTACGCCCCGACCACCCATGGTAATCCTTTTGTTCTTATCATCAATAATGGCATCCCTTCTAAAAAACCTCAACTTCAACAGAGGAGCCTTCTTTGTAATCTCCATCTTGTGTCCCTCCAGGTCTCTTACTCTTGTCCTTGCACCTTCATTCCATGGACCCTAAGAGCCCGAAAAATACTAGTTCAAGGAATGCAAAGAGTACAGAAAGAAGGCCGTGAAAATTCAAGTGAGCCATATTTCAATAAAACTAAGTGAGTATGACAGTGCTTCAATAACAGGCTAAGCTTCAGGTAGGGGCGAGGAGACTGAAACATGAGGTGCTGAGAGGCACTACGTCAGCCCCAATTCTCAACTCCTTCACTAGAACACATACTTAGTTTAGGGTTCCACACAGTGTCCACCCAGACTGGAAACACAGTGCTACACAAAAAATGCTACTGATGATTTGGACTTATGGCCATCCCATGAGCTGCATGAAGTCACAGGAAACTTGGAGAGGGCCCAAGAGGATGAGATTGGAAAGGTGTGAAATGAGCAAATTCTCAGGACACTGGTCTTGCCTGCTTGATATATAGAAGGGATCAAGAGTGTTGAAAACTGCATTTTCACTGAAGCCAGAAAAGAAGGTACTTTGTTTTGGACTGAATATCTGTGTCCCCCTCCACCCCTGCCAAAGTCCTATGGTGAAACCTGAATCCCCAGTGTGGCTAGATTCGGAGAGAAGGCCTCTAAGATTAAGTAAGGTGAAGGGGGGAAATTAGTGTCCACATAATAAGAGACATATGAAAGCCAGTGTGTGTTCCCTACCCCAGCCCCATGTGGGGCTTAGAGAAGTCACCCAGTCTGTGACATTTTGTTATGGAAATCTGAACAGAGAAATGTATATTTAGATTATAAATTTGGAAGGGATTTTAACTCTAACAATTGAGAAATGATGAAATAGGCTATAAAAATATTGATAATTATATGGTGAGAGGAACAATTAACTTGCTCTGCCTGCAGTCAGGGCACGGCCTCGGCCGCGAGGCTAAAGGAAACATACCTGCTCCTTTTCCAGCATGTCGGCTTTTCTCAGGATCTTCATTGCATAGATGTGGCCTGTGTCTTTCTTCTGAACCAGTCGCACCTGGGGTGGAAACAGCAGATCATATTATACATGTTAAACAGTCACTATCATTTATATTTAGGAGCAAAAGGTAGGCTCCTTTAAAAAAAGCACGATTTTGTCACAGCTGGTATTTTAGGAATTCTATTAAAATTAAACTATCTTAATACATATTTTATACAGTTAAACAGTTTTAAAACAGATCTTAAAGGATCTTAAGATAGAGATTTTCAGCAGCAGTGACTGCAGAGAATCATACCTCTCCAAATGCTCCTCTTCCTATGACCTTCAGAGACTCAAAGTCGTCCAGGCCGAGTCTGGTCCTTTTGAGCCGTAAGAACTCTGTCTCCTTACGAGCATGTTGTGATCGACGTAACTTTTTCTATTAAAAAAGAGAGTTTCAAAGGATGACTTTAAAATCAGGTTGTTTCAGAGGAAACCTATAGTATCAGAAGATGAGGCATATAAAAATAGGGGTAAATTCCCTTAAATGTTAACTACTAGTGCTATAACTTATGTATCAAAGCCAGGGATTAATTTATTTATTTATAATTTTTTTGAAGATTTTTTTATTTATGCATACAAGTTTATTTAAGTTTTTTATTTATTTATGCACACCTCTGGGGTGTAGGCCAGAGATGCAGGGGGTGAGACAGAACAAGCAGATCTACTTAAATACACTGCTGAGGGGAGCAGCAGGTGAGACAGGAGAGGTGTGCTGTGCCATGTGGGTTAACGTCCTGGCCAGGGATCTAACTCAGGCTACAATGGCTGGCGATAGCTTGACAGCACTGAGACTATAACCCTGTGCCACCAGGGAGCCCCCAAAGTCAGGGATTTATGAAGCATGGAAAGAATAAAGCTATTTGAAGGACACATTTAAACAAATGATAAATCTTTATTCCTGAGGTGGACCCCTTGAAATATTTCATCTTGAGTCTGTCAAATTGCTCCATCTATATTAACTTAAATCATAGATAAACACTAAACTTTAGGAAATGCTACTATTCTGGTTATGATTTTCACTTGGATTCATGGGAAATCTACTCGGCTCCCACCCCTAACATTCACATGGGCTCTGTCACCACCCAGTCTCTGAGACTCGACAGCCAGTGACACAGTTTCCATAGAGACTGAATCATGGGAGAATTTATTCTTGGACACATTTTAATAAACTGCTGGAGACTTGGCATTTGATTTCCTGAAAATATGAAATGGAAAAAAAATACATGAAGAACTGACAAAAATATTCAAAGTCAGGAATTTCATAATTCATTCTCCAAAGATCACAAAAAATAAGTACCACACACACAAAGTGGGAAACAGACTCAGTGGGAAAACCACACTTCCCTTCATCTTCACCTGAACCCTGTCAAGCTTGGAGTGGTTCAGTTCTGAGGGAAACAAGTAAAGTATTTCAGGACAATTTGGAAATGCTGCTCCTGGATGCAGCACCAGGTATAACCTGGTGTCCTGCCCACTAGACACCTGATTTCCAAAGGTTGAAGGAACTATTAATTACCAGTGTGTCAATGTCCCATCCATGCACTGGAATCCTAACTTCTAACAAAGTCATTTCAAGAGATTGAAATCAAGACACTATCTTTAAACAGCTAAATTAAGTGACAGGCACTTCAGTGGTGGAAATAGCGATGACTTTATTTATTTATTTATGTATTTATTTATGTATTTATTTATTTATTTATTTATTTGGTGTTCAAAATGCCTTCTGAATAATTTTTTAAAAGGAACCACTAGAAAAACAAGACAGTCCCCAAAGTAGCTTGTTTGAAACTTTAAGGCTGTAATTAAAAGGGCCTCATGGTGGCACTGCAGGACTGAGTCTACAGAGCATGAAGCAATTTCTGTTGTCAACTACATAAATACATTTTGATGTTCTAGATTTTTGACTTTATGGATAAAAAAAGTACAGTTGGGTATGGTTTCAGAAACTTGTATAATCTGAATGGAAAACACGACATCACAGTTTCATAAATTGGGCTTAAAATTTACAGACAAGAGAAGCAGCTGAAGATGAAGATGCCGGCTAGCACCGACAGGCCGAGGGCCTGCTTTGGGTGCTGCTCTCTAATGGCAAAAGAAGAAATCGCCAGTGTGTGGAACACCTAATTCTACCAAAATGGGATCACCTGTAACATTTTTATATTACTTAAAAAACAAAAATCCGTGCTGCAGTCTGAGGTAGCTGAAGCAAGAGTGTATTTACAAAATTGCATGAAAAAAGCATGCTGTTTATCTGCTTACAACTTGTACAGATTGAATAGCCTTGAAAAAAATAATAACATTTTTTTCCTGTACAAAAGTCTGTGAACAGGCTTAACGTTCTCATGGCTTTTTTTGCAGCTTAAATTTGCCTACTTTAATTTTCCATTAGAACAAGTAATTTTCTTTGACAGAACTTCATCTCAAGAAGAACTAAGAAGAAATCATTCTCTGTCTCTGCTCCTTGCAGATGAGTGTTCCTCAAAGGTTCCCTCTGTGTGGCCCAGGGTTTGGTATAAGACCGAGAGTGAGGGCAGGAGGGGAGAGGGAGTGGTGGGTATGCTTTTCATGTCTACACTACGTAGCTTAGTTTCCATGAGTAATTTCTAGATAAATTAATATTTTATACTAAGGTTTAGAGAGTAATTTCCATTTTACAGAATTCAACAATCTAGGAGCTAGCATGAGGCCTGGTAATAGACATTTGTGGAATTAAATTATTTTTACTGAAAAATTTTACAAGTTTTATAGTTATAATAAGCAACTGACTATTTGAGGGGTGAAATCACCTCACATTTTCTGAATGTAGTCAGTACTTCCTGGTACAGATGAGACACTGCAAGCCCTGAAACTACAAACTGTATTTGTGTACAGATGCACTAGATTTGGTCTGCACAACGTTCTTAAAACATTTGAATTCCTTGCCAATATTGAAAAAAGCAGGTATTCTCATTGATGTCTAGTCTTCCACATGTTGTGGAACAGCAGGCCCAGGGCCGCCTAGGGCCCAGCAGCAGCCCCTGCTGAGGACAGCACTATCACATTTGTCACAGTTGCCCAGCAACGCTGGTCACAGGTGACCTGTGCACAGGGCCAGTGCAGCCGTCTTCTCGCAGTAAGGGATAGCAAAGGTGAACTGTGAGCATCAAATCACTTAGGAAGGAGGAATAAAGAAAAGTCTATTTCTTTTTGGAAATGAGAAGTAATATCCTTATGAGCTGAATATGCAGACTATATTGGCTCAACAGAACACAACCTAAGATGCCACAGGAAGCCGAGCTGGCTGCTGCGCCCAGTCAGGTCTGTTCAGCCCTCAGGCAGCTGCTCTGTCACTTCTCTAGATTTCACAGTAAGATCTTATGTGAGATCAAAATATCAATATGATATGTCATCTGAATTAATAAGCTAGTAATGACAAGAAGATGATTAATATTAATGAATAAAAATGACAAAAGATATCCTGTCTTCTCTACAGATTGTGATGCAGATTTAAATCATTATCCTTCTCACTTAATATTTAAAGAATATAAATGAAATGAGTTTTGGAAAAAAGTATTATATTAACTTTGTGTAAATAATTTGAATTTTTAAGACTGAGTCAACTAATAAACTAACCAGCTCTGATATCATCATAAAATATTTTATTTCACTTAAACATTACAAATATAAAACCACAGGTAACTCTCCAGTGAGAGATGCAAGGAAGCCTGCATAATGTTTAGATTTCAAGCCATCTGCAAAATTACTCTTTAAATACAGAAATTCTTTTCCAAACACTGAAAACTTTCAAGCTAATTGCCCGGGTCGAGTCTCCCTACCACCTAGTAGATAAACTCTAGACTTCTCACCTTTCATTTCCTTACTGCACCTTTGGAATCACTACTGTACACACATACCCAGTACTTCATATACCTCCTGTCTGTACTGTAAACACCGCCCATTTTTTAAGATTGAAATCACTTGTTACCTCTTCCATGAAATCTTTTCTGATTTTCAGAATTAGAGGGAAAAAAAAAAATCTGTGTCTTTTCCAAGTTGCCACATCCCACCATGTGTACATACACACACACACAATCTTTCCTTCTCATCTATAAACTCAAGGCAAAGAGCCATTGTTCATTTATTCACCAAATATTTACTCTAGCCCTCTGCCAAGTCTGGAAATGTAGAGTTGAATGAAATGAGATGGAGTTTGTACTTGGGGTATTTTCAGGCCACCGAAGGGACAGAAACAGTGTTATGCTATAGAATTTACGAGGAGGAGCTCGAGAGAGTAGAAGAATTTCCCAGGAAAAGCAATGCCTAAAGGGAGGGCTTACGCTGTTAAAAGAATGATGGGAGTTGGGCAGGAGTGAAGAAGAGTGCCAAAGGGCAGAAACAACATGTGCAAAAGTCCACGGGTAAGAATGTAGAAAGTAAGTCAACCTTGCTGGTTATCATGGGGGGGTGAGAAGAGGGGGTGGCAGTAAGAGGGGAAACCGGAGAGGGGGCTGGTTCATCAATGGTGATGGGTTAGCCCTTATCCTTAGAGTCCTCAGAAGTCAAGGAAAGGTACTGAACAAAGGAGGCACATGATTACATCTGTTTCTGGACAGATGCCTCTGCTAGTGTGCCGAACTGGGGTTGAGGGTAGGCTGAGGGAAGAGGAAGAGAGACCTTAGATGACACACATGGTAGTTAAACTAGGGCAGAGGCAGTGAACTAGAGAAATGGATGGTTTTAAAAAATGTTTAGGAAAAAATGTGAAAAGGTTTGGCAACTGATTTTCCTTAAAGCTCTCCTGCTCCATGCACTACAGATATTGTTCATCAAATATACACTCAAGATTTTTTTAAAAAGCTACCACTTTTTAAAGATGTCCACCACACAGCAACAAAGTCCATATTCAAATGAAGAAATCAACATAATCTAAGTTATAAAATCATCTGATACCAAGAAATTAAAAAGTCACTGGAGTTGTTTTTGTACAGTAATTACACCCCCCAGCCTCCCTGAGAGATAACTGTCGTAACCATATACACTGCAAAATGGTTATCACAGTAAGGTTGGCTAAGGCCTCCAACATTGCACACACTGCTATTTTGTGTGTGTGTGTGTGTGTGTGTGTGTGTGTGTGGTAAGAACATGTAAGATCTACTCTCTGATCAGGTGCATGATGCCATCATGTTACCCAAAGTCATAGTCATTACAGCTTAGGTACCTCTTCATCTGCTAATCCTTCTTCTTCCATGGCCACTTCTAATTTCTTCTGCCTTTTCAAAATAAAAAAATGAACATTTTAAGTACGTTCCTAACTGTTTCCACTTTAAAAAGGCACATTTACTTACTTAACTCTAACATTTCAGTTTGTTTGCTATGCTGAAAAAAAATCTTTCAGGTTCAATTAAAATAATCACCATGGATATTTTCTTTCTCCAACTATTTACCCAAACCAGTTTTTACTTTCTCATACCAGCCAAATACAGTTTACTTCTAAACCTGCCTAAGGAACTGTTAGAAATATGAACAATGATTATCTAATGTCCAAGCATCAAAGTCATTAACATGGATCAGTGTTTACACCAGAAATGCTGAAGGTGTGAGATTGGAGGCGGCCCTTCCTAGGTCTGTGGGTGGTGCTTCTGACATGCAGCAGCCAAGAGAGCTCATTTGACCCTCACTTGACCCCAAATCTGACTGATCCCTCTTCTATAAGGGAAGGTGTTCACTGTACCTGGGTGTATTCTATTCTAAGTCCTTGAAAACTGGAAAGCCGTGCATGTATATTAAAAATTATAATGCCTTACAAGATATCTGCTTTTTAGGGATGACCAAGTTCAGTTATTTTTATTTATTTTTTTTAAAGTGTTTTTGTTGCTGTTACTTTTTTTTTTTTTTAAGATTGATTTATTTATTTATACAAGCACTGGGTACAGTCAGAAGTGCGGGAGGGTGAGAGAATTCACCAGAGCCAGAGCGGAGAGCAGAACAGGCTGAGTGATGAAGTACACTGCTGAGGGGAGCAGAGGGCGGCAGGAGGGGTCTGCGCACCATGTGGAACCCTCGCCTGGCGGCCGGGAATCGAACTGGCACTGCAGAGGCTGCGGGCAGCTTGCAACCCAGTGCTCAACCACTGCGCCACCGGGGAGGCCCTCAGTTATTTTTAAACAGCACCCCTGAAGTGACTCAAGCTAAGTCCTGGGGTGGCAAGGGGTGGGGATGAAGCAATAGTAACTAGGGAGCTGGTCAGGGCATACATTTTGCAACTCACTTCCAAGTGAATGTTAGTATTTTATTTCTGTTGTATTAGGTTTTCTTAAAAATCAGCACAGGAAGGCTCCTCCTAATTTGTCCTGCAGGAGGCCAGAATAATTCTGACTTGCCATGATCAAGCCAAATGGGTCATAAGGGCCAAGGACTGAAACCATCAGACATATTTTTTGACATTTGTTATTTAAATGTCCAAAAGCTCTCCCCTAAAATATCATTTGTCTTTCTTATGGAAAATTCATTAAACAATATCTAAAGCCTGCTGATAAATGAGCTCCCACTGGAGGAGGTGAGACTGGGCAACATATTCTCTGCTCTCTTCTGAGCATGGGTGATAGGACCCTCCCTCAGAGCTCACCACAGTGACTTGGGTCTTGTTAGCACCTTCCTCCCACTGCTAACGTGGAGTCTGTGTCTAGTATGGCTTCTGTGCCTGCCATCAGGCCCCGCAAGGCACAGCAGCTGCTGGTGCATGAGCTGGAGTTTTCTCCTTGGCAGAAGGAATCTGGAGAGAAAGACCACCACTGCTCGGGAAGAAAACACTCTCCCGGCAAACCATTCTGTCAAATCTCTACTGTCCCCTCCCTCATGCTGGGGAGAAATGGAGTCACGCGCACCTGTTTCCACAGTATTGAAACAGGAAGGCCCCTGGCCCCTGACTGCACTTGTACTTTCTCAAAGAGTAGTTTCCCTAATATGTGTTCATATTTTGTCCTTGAATGGAGTATTCAGGTATCTAATGAGTTAAATCTTAAAAATTCATCAGGCTCGCTTAGAGTATAAGCTTGTAGGAAATATGAGATGCTCAACTGGACTCCATGGCACCAGTTTTTTTTTTTTTTTTTTAAATAGCAGGAGATAGTTTCATTCTTATTTTCTTTTGGTTGGGAAAAGAGGCCAAAACTTAATTACTTTATAGCTTCAGCAAGAAAAGACAATGAACCTTTAAATTCGGATGCAGAACTTAACTGCCTGACTTGAAAAACACAGGTCTTGGTTTCTCCTTGGTTCTCTCCCGAGGATCTCCTGAGGATCTTTCCTTGGTTCTCTCCTGAGGATCTGATCACTTCCAGAGGCTTTAGATACACTCACAGTAAGTGTACATGCTCAGATATTTGGGTTTATTTATAACTCATTTGTGTGTTCTTTTGGTGCTTACTTTTTGGTCAGTCTTTCTCCCTCACCTTCTCTTGATCTGACTTTTGTCATTGTTTTTTTTTTTTTTCTTTTACTAGACTGAAAGTTACAAACTCTATATTCTTTTAGTGACTAGTCTAGATATACAACATATACACTTAGTCTGAAATTACCCAATTTTTACCCCCCTTTGAAGAACATTTTAACTCCCATGATGCCCCTCCTGACTTAGAATATATTGTTGAAAAATATTTTAATTCTGTGTTTAAGAATGCAGAAGACATCAGCATCACCACCTTTGCTGCTTTCACAGTCCATTTTGGGGAAGGGGCCTCTACTCTTGTTTTAATAGCACACACCTGGGATTCCATCACTACCTCTAAGGAAATGTACATATTCATGATCCCAATATTTTCTTCCCCACCCCCTGGAGGAAGGGTGGGAGGGCATGGGTTTGCCTTTTTAAAGGTATTTGACCCCTGCTGTTCTGAACACCTAGGCTGTCCCTAGAAGGGCACATGGAACCAAGTGCAGCCTTTGTTCTCCCTACTTTCTGGTACTCTGAGTCCCTTCCAGGCCTTCCTCAGAGTACTTCCCAGGTTCAGGCAGTGGGACCAGGGTTCAGCCACATGAGGAGTTTCCACGTGGCGTCATCTCACAGGATGCGCCTGTCCCCAGAATGCCCCGGCTCAGAGCTGGCTCTGTCCCCACAGAGCTATGATGCAGAGGAGGGCGCCTTTCCCTCACATTCACCCTGAAGAGTCTCAGGAAACTGTCTCTCCCCACCGCCCTGGCCTAGCAGCTCCTCAAAGGTGCCTGGAGATCCGCCACCTGCATTGCCTTGCACTCCGCTGTCTCTTATTTCCTGTTTGTTCTTTTTTTCTCTTTTTCTGGGGTTCATTTTGTCATCATCCTACCCATGACCCCAGCAGGACACTAATGCCGTTCACATGCAGGCCTCAGTATACCCACAGCCATCCTAATTCAGAAGAGATTCTAAAACCCAGAGGGACCGTGCTAAACATCACCAGTCCCTGGCAGGGTTCCCCAAAACGCAAGACCCAGGGGCAGGTCCCGTATCAATTCCTTCAGGGCAGCTCACAATCCAAGTCTGTGTGTGTGGATGAAAGAATACAAGAGGGACCAGAGAGGTAATGTACTATCCACCTTTCTGTTTCTATATCCACAGGGTAAATGGCGTGGTCCTCTTGCATCCACGCGACAGCCTGGATGGATTGCGCATAGGACTGATCTGTGTGGACATGGTTGGGCAGGTAGTGTGCGCCTGATTCCTCCGCCACCGGCAGCCACCTGGGGAAGCTGCCTTCTCTGAACCTTCCAGGTGTGTAGAAATGCTGCTGTGAGAGCAGGCCCAAGGCAGGGCCAGGAAGCAACTGGGCACCTGGAACACACGATACTTTGTGATACTGTTAGTCTGAAGACCACAGTGACTGCCAGACATCCACGCAGATGCTACCATTGCAGTTGATGTTGGCAGGATACATTCTGGACATGGAAACAACTTCTGGGGACTTGCAAGAGGAATCTGTGGGAAAGTGCTGGCCAAGAAAATGCCTCCTGGGTAAGGACTGTCATCAGCCCAGGATGGCAGCCTGCCAGGAACACTTCTGGATCTGCCTCTGCATCCCACTGCTGGGGCGGGGCAGCCTGGGACTCATCATAGACTGGGCTATAAGAACAACTTTGTTGAGACTTATCCATATCTTTGCATATAGATTTTTCTCTGTAATCATTTTCCTTCTTATTGAACCCTCTGGAATTTCTTTGATGAGGAAGTCTCAGTTGTAATTTGCCTCTGCTCCCTCCTCTCTCCTCACTTCCTTTAGGAACTGTGATTACAGAAATGTCAGCACGACTCTCCAAACTCCTGAACTCTCACACTCTTAATCTAACTTTACTTCTGAATAGTTACTTATGCTTCATTTTCTAGTTCTAATTCTCTCTACAGTTACATCTAAGCTGCACTTAAGCCAAAATTAAACTCAAAAACATGACTCTTCTTCTCTAGTCTTACTAAGTGTCCAGACGTGATGTCACAGTTAGCATCACTCATTCCTCTCACATTTCTCTTCGGTGGGTTGACCCTGTTGGTCCTTCTCTACGGCTGCTGAGGCTCTAAGTCTGCTTCGGCCTCCTCTCCAGCTCCCTGGCGACGCCACCAGCTTTCCCTGTTTCTGGTCCACTCCCACAGTCCATTCTGCGCGTCACCACTTGCTCCTTCTTCCAGGGACACCACTGAAGGACGCGCATATGCTCAGGACACTTAAGCTCTGCCATCCCGAGAGCAGTAGCGTGACCAGGCACCCAGGAAATGCTGAAACTCACTGCAGCCAAGCCTGACGCTGCCTGAGCAGCAGGAGGCCACATCGTCTCTCTGGAGCATCCATCCCCTCTCTGACCTTCCTCCTCCTCTGATGCGTGCAGAAAGCCTATTCTTCCTGCTTAAATGTCACCACCATCTGTGAATTGCCTTCCTCAAACCCTGGTTAAAAGCCATTTCTTTCCTTTCTTCCCCTTCTCTAGGTGATTTCTCTCAGTGATACTGTTCACTGTTTCAAAAGACATGCTTTATCTTTCTTACTACAGGTTTCCAGAAAGCAAAATAACATGCCATTCTTTTTTTTTTAATTTTTCTGTTCCTACTGACACACACACTATATTATAAATGTGGTGGGATTAAAATCAGTCATTCAAGGAGCATCCCTCTAGAAGAAACTATAAAAATACCACAATTTCACGGCTAGAAACATTTTATTTAAAAGAACAACTAACATGTGATGTTAGCATGCAGTGCATGGGATTGTGGGGATCTCCAGAAAGCATTCTTTGGAAACACAAGGTACACAAGGCATACTGTTGCTGCAAGAAACTCAAATGGCATGTAGGGTGGGCTTCACCATCAAAACAAAGGACGTGGCATTTATTAGGGGCTACACACCTACCCTCCCCCAACAGCTTCCTCCAGGAAACACCCAGTGGGTTTTGTGTACCTGTCAGCAAGCCCCTACCTGGTCTCCCTCTCCTCATGCTGCAGAATCAGGTTGCTGTAGAAGTTCTCCAGAGTGAGCTTGGCCACTGTCACTCTCTCCCGGGTGTGGTTGCTCATGGGGAAGGTTGCTGCTGGCCCTGCCGCCATTGCCATCTCACAGAACTGTAAGAACACAGGACCAACTGTCAAGAGAAAGTCACTTTCTATTCCTTATGATAAATTCTGAGAATGGATTAATTTCTCCTAAGTAAAGTCCTGTTCTAACAGTTAACACCTGAGTCTTTCACATTAAAAACAATACAATGCTAGCAAAGAAAGAGAAAGATGCACTGTTTCCAAAGCTATAGAAATTACTTTTGACAAATTAATTAGCAAAACCCTGGGTGAATACATTAAAGAACCACCAGAGACTGTCCACACACTATACAGGCACATTTATACAAAGCAAGCATTCAAAACAAAACTCAATCTATTTTGTTCTGTTTTAGGATTACTAAATAAAATACGTAATATTTTGCCAATATTTATATCCCCAATAAGTGTTGCCCTCCTAAGAGTTAATGCAGTTTAGTAAAGTAGTAACAAGTGTCTTATGCCACATAAATTCTATGAAACTTGAAATGTTACATCAAATATGCCCACAAGATCAGTTTAAAGCAATTCTTATAGGTACACGTTTTAGGGGAAAACTTCTTTTAAGAACAAGCTCCTCTGGGTGGAGCTCTTGGCTGTCATATTTCATTCTGAATTCTGTTTTGTTCAATGCCGCGAGGTCTACACCATAAGGTCTGATTCAATGACACTGAAATGCCTGTAGGAACCAGACTGGAAACATAAATGTATGAATTAAGTTAGGGGACAACGGCAAATTCTGTGGCCTTAACTGAACATTCAAGTCAGCATTTAAAAGCCAACAGGCCAGCCAAACAGAGCTCTGGCTGGAAGAAGATGATATGGACAACTAGACAAGATAAGAAATGCAGCAAAAGGACTGCTTTGAAGGGTGAGAGAATGAACCCAGGTGGCTAGTATAGGTGGGCACTGACCAAGAGACATGCCCACCACCGTCCACATCTCCCCAGGAGAGTACACTAGATCCAAACAGTGAAGAAGTTTCTTGCTTCTGTGCAAGGGGTCACCACATTCCATCCTTGAGAAGACCCAGACTGCCAACTGACCATGCAACACTGCACTCTTAGTTGAAAGGATGCCCCTAAACTTGCCACCTACTCCCCAACAACCACATCTCCTCAACTCCATGAAGACACGGACCCCTGCACATCAACATGAACTGGCCTAGACAGACTCCAGGGATAAGGGAATGAACAGAAGAGCTTTCTTGTTCTTCCATGTCAAGCAATTCAACACAGGTTGAAAGCAAATGATTTAATTAATGGAAACTCCCAGCTGCACTGTCATCTTGTAGGGTTTATACCTCAGTGGACTCCATGAGCCTCACAAGTATCCTGCCTAAAACCATGTCTACCATTCTGGTTGTTCTAAACTTGTCCTTCTATTGACTGCTCTAAATTCCTTACAAGAAGTTGTAAAGTACAGTAAGGAAGTAACACTTGGAAAGGTCCCAGCCAGTGAGCAGTAAAGCCAGGGGGCCACCTGCCTCCCTCACCACTCATCTTCCCCAAGGATTGGGATCCTTTGTGCCTTCCTTTCCTCACAGGACCCACCCTCTAATCAGTGGTTATTCTTGAAGGCCCAGAGTATCTCAAGTCCTACTGCGATGGCATACCCCACCAGGACAGATGGAGCTGCTGGCACTCTTTCCAGTGTGTTCACTTGCTCTTGGACCATTGTGTTGCAGATACTGGGTGGTGGCCTCCATCTCTCTATCCACTGTAAGACGAGCAACTCTGGGCAAGAACTTTTCCTGATTCTTTCTGAGAGTTCATGATGATATAGCACAGTCTTTGACTCATGACAACATTAATGAATGAATCAACCTAGCAAATAGGGGTGGAGGAAGAATGGAAAGAATCTGTAAATATACAGGACAGCACTCTATAAAGGTTGGCTATTAAGCAGCTGTGGAAAAAGAAATTACTGAACACAGTGAGATGTCTAGAGATCTAACTGGTCATATTCAAATCCCCAGTACACTCTGAATTCTAGTCACCCTTCCCCAGAGGAATTCCAGTATTTTTTCTGTCTAGTTCATAGGCATAGTCTAAGGCTATCTGAGAAAATAGTCAGCAAAGCCACATGGTGTATAAAAATGTAAGAAACTATTTTGGCACCTAGTTTGACCTTTTTAAATGTGTTAAATGCTTTGATAATAATGAGTGTTATTTTTAAAAACAATAAATAATGAAAATAAATAAAACTCAGGAATTGTCATGGCCAAATGATTTTTCAGCACCAAGCTGTTCTTCTTGGAATGCTATCTAAAGCAATGCTACCAAACCATTTTTGGAAATCCCAGGATCAGAAAGCTCATGCTTTGTGTTCAGGGTCAGATGCAGAAAAGTCAGAGAAGAAAAAAATAGAAGAGGTATGGCAAACAGTAAATATTCCAAATATGTTTGTTAATTGGGATTTGGGAACCTGGTGGTGGAGCTAGGGAGCAGATGGACTGAAAATCAAGGAATTCAAACAAATTAAAAAAAAATCAAGATTATACAAAGTTAAGCAAATGTCTTATTGCAAGACTTCTCAGCATCTTTAATAAGTAAATCTGCACCCTAAATCCTCAGAAAGGGGTTAGGTATACAATTTGCAATAGTATTCCAGGGAGCCTCCTTCAGGCATATATAAAATTTAAGTTCATAGATAACTCTTTAAACACTAGTGGAAAAGTGCCTGTTATTTTTTCTACTAACATTAAGGAAAAAAAAAAAAAGAACCATTAGATGTTCTATCAGAGAGAATGCCTAGGGATTTCAAAGTGCTTTCTGATTTGTCCCAGAAATCTGGAGATGACAAGATGATTTCCAAATTGTTTTGCCAGTTCCTAACCGGATAAAAGGTCAAGACCTTACTATACTGGTCCAAAGTCTATAATTTTCCTTTCAAAAAGTGAATGGTGAAAAAGCAAATAAAACTTTGTATAATGTCTGTTGAGAAAAGCACAAAGAAATCACGCCTGAGTAATGGTAACAGAAGTCAAAAAACTGTAGGATGAACTCAGGCTTGGCCTTGGAAGGCAGTGGACTGGCCACTAGGTGCCTGGAGGAAACAGCCTGCCCTGTTCAGTCAGCCAAGGTGCAAGGTCTGGCCCTTGGTGTCCCAGGGCAATCAAATTCTGGAAGTTGTTCTATCTTAAGGAGGTTCATAAGAGACTGACACACAAAACATAATGGCATTTACTGAATTACACATGAGAAAATGAGCAGCAAGGAACAAAGAGATGCTTGATCTCCTAGCAAATGCAAGTCAGATGTAAAGCTCAGAAGACAGGCGATGCGAGGGCACAAAAACAAGAACCGTGATTCCGCTGAAATGCTTAAGGATTGGCAGCACGGTCAGGTGGGCTCTCATCAACAAGCACATGCTTCTGACCCCTGCCCTGGGCACATCTGCCCATGTCCAGTAGTTGGAGAGATGGCCAGAAAGAAGCAAGATTACTGGGTGGAGGTAGCAGAAATATTACTAAGCAAAACCTTGGGGGGGATTTTTGTGAAAAAATGTTAGGGAGTTCAAAACAATTCCAAATAAGAGGAAGTGTATACATTCACAGTACAGAAATAAATAAGAAGTTGTTTTGGTTATAATTAGTTTAAAATCCAGAAGAGGACATGAAGTAATGAAAAACAACCTCTAGATACCATGAAATGTTATCATGAGGGCTAAGTTCTCTCCATCCACTTATACATAGGTGCAAGTAGATGTGTCTTCTGAGCAAAACCTATGCCTATTCATCTTTGTAATGAAAGCAGTATAGTCCTTGAAAAGGTGCTGAGCATGGAGTAGTTATTCTGTAAAGAAGAGTGAGCAAGTGAACTCCAATTAAATGGATTTTAAATTATTTTTCATATATAATTTCCTATGGCATCATTCAGTGCTATGTAAACCTTCAGAAACAAATCCTACTTGAGATACACAACTGCAGAAAAGCCAAATCCCACCCTACGACTCGATTAACTATCTTCAGAGAGTAGCTTAAAAAAACAAGAAAAAAATTTCCCTCTAATCAGACACAAATAGGTTTTAAATATTTCAGATTAAACAAAACCAGAAACAGAACTGATCAAATTATTACAAAGATTGATCCAGATGACTGGCACTTATTATGCTGCATATTTATTCTTCTAATTGATTTAACACTGTTCTTTGTCTTTTATTAAAGCCCTTTCTTTGTCCAGAAAAAGAACAGGATACAATTTGCAAGTCTAGAATTCCTGGACTGATAAAAACAACAGTAGGTGCCCTTGAATTTCCTGTCCACATGCTTTCTCCAGACTCCCCTATTCATTACTGGAGACACTACCAAGAGTTAAGTCCAACATTCTTTCATTTATCAAGCCTGGGGACAGCAGATAACAAATCTGGCAGTCAGGTCGTCTATAAATAGTTGTGGTGTTTCCAACCATTCACCATCAAACTGCTGTAATAGGAAAACAGAACTGTTTTACCTGACTGGTAAAACACTATTTAACAGGTGATCTCACTTTAGTTTTCACATATTACATTTCAAGGAAAGAGCACTCTTAATGCCGCTATACTGCCATGGAATATAAAATCATTCCTAAATTCACCACTAGTTGTAACCATAATGTTCTGGGCTGCAACAGGCTAGATACCCTATTTAGGTCCCTAATAACAGAACTGCCATGGCCTCTTTCCTCTAAGGGATAATCATAAGCACAAACATTCAGTCAGAAGAGCATTCATGTCCCATCACTAACTTTCACTAATATTACTTAGTATTTATTAGTAGTGTTTTCCACCAGCAGTGCTGCAGATCTATACCATGTGCTGGCACTGCACTAAGAACTGAGAATGTGAAGACTGATAAAATATGGTCCTTGGGTAGTTCACAATTTCATGGGGATAGCAAGACGGGAAAAATCAAAAGTTTACTAAAGGGGAAGATGCTTGAATTGAGTGGAGGAGGGGTAGGGGTGGGGGTAAGAGTTCACAAGTCAAAGAGACAGGACGGAAGAGGGGACATACAGAGAATGACATAAGGATATCGGGGTCAAGACGTG